CCTCTGCCCGCGGGGAGAGACCGCCACCGCCACATCGCAGGCAGAACACAATGAAGTGGAGTCTGCAGTCCGAATCCGAACTGCGCTTGCGCGTTGCCGGGAGACCCGCCGAGCCGGATTCCCTCAAGTCAGAGAGCTGCAGCGCTTCTGCTTCGCAGACTCCACTTCCCAGAGGGCGAATCGGCGGCAAGCGCCCGCACCAGCGCCGGGCGGAGAAACTGATACTGCGCGCCTGAGCAGATTAGGGCCCCGCCGCTCAGCACCCCCACCCCCCACCCCACCCAGGCCAAGGGGGTTTCCTTGCAGAAACTACATTTCCCAGGGACCTCGGCGGAGGCGTCACGGTTCCCTAGGCAGGTAACCACCCGCGCGCTAACCCGCACATGAGGATTTGGTTCCGTTTGGGTCAGACTAGGGAAGGCAGAGACCAACGAAAAGTTAACAAAGGGATGAGGAAGGTCAGTCCGAGGAAGTGGCACCTGATCCGGTGAGTAGAGCTGATCCAGGACGGCCCCCAAGGACTCAGAAGGAGGCGACAAGTCGAAAAGCAGCGTTCCTGAGGGAGGACCGCGCGGAGATGACTTGAGAAGGCAGCGGGACTGTGCCTCGGCCACGGGGATGCAAAAAAAGCTAACAGTGTGGCCTGGCGTTCGTGCTGGGGCGTGGTTCGGGCGATGAGTGGGACCCGGGGACCGGGAGGACGGAGGTGCGGGCAGAAGGCCTGCGGCCCAGTGAGGAGGCTGCTGCGGCAGTTCAGGACCCAGCGGATAGTGGCTGGGACTAGAGTGGTGGCCACGGGACCAAGGGCACGGCGCGAGAAACGTCGACAGGTAGAATAAACTTGGTTCTCCACGACTTATCAGGAGGAAGGAGCTGGATGCCAAGGAGTCTGTCTTGTACAACTGGGTGGTATTTAGCGAGGTGGTATTTATTTTTGTGGACAGTATTTTGCGGAGGCGGGCAAGGATGAGGTAAAATATAGAAAGATCCGACTGGAGATACTTAGTTGCCTTTGAATTTTCACGGAGCTCGGGAAGGAAAGATGAGAGAGTTTTAACTTTGTCGGTGGCGGAAAAAAAGCCAAGAATGGACCTCTCAGTGAGCAGTGTCAGTGACTTTACTTACGTAACACTATGGCATTCTGTTTTGGCTTTTACTGAAGATTTCATTCCATAGACACTTTTGGAGCATTTATGTGTCAGGCATTGTTCTAGGGGCTGGAGAAATAGTGAAACCCTGAACTTATGCAGGTGGAATTCTACTAGAGGGGGTACTCAATAAACAGAAAATATTGATGAGGTAGTGATGACACATTGAGGCTGTGTTACGGTTTAGAGTGTGACGGGGGTGGGGAGGTGGGAATTATTTTCAGCAGCGTTTTGAGAAGTTCTCTTTGAGGAGGTAACATTTGAGCAGAGATTTGAATGTAGTGAGGAAGGAAACCATGTGCATATCTGGGAAGAGAACAGAAATGCTGACCAGAGATAGAAGTGTGCTTGGTGAGCCTGTGGTTTAGCAAGGCCAGTGTGACAGGAGAGGGCATAGTGAACAAGGGAGAGTGGGAGAGGAGGTTGGAAGGGTAATTAGAGGGCTTGAAGGACATCGTAAAAAGTTTGCATGTATTCTCTGTGTGACAGAAAACCACTGAAGGGGTTTGAGCAAAAGAGTGGCTTGGCTGAACACATTTTGACAGAATCACTGGTCCGCTGTGGGGCGAACAGGCTGTGGTGCGGCTAGAGGGAATACAGGGAAACCAGTTAGGAGGCTGTTACACCAGTGGGGGTGGGGTGGGGGGAAGAGAGAGCCTCCTACAATTATATCACCTTCCTACAAGGCATTTGCTTTGAGAGCCTAAGATAATTAAGGGTTGTGGATGCCATGCTAAGGAGTTTGGATATTGTTCTGTTTTCAGATATATAAGGATAATAATAATAAAATATTTATTGAGCACTAAACATGTGTTGGGCACTTTCATAAGCACTTTACATTAGTATTGAATGTAATCCAAAGCTATGAGGTTTGCACTGTTAACAAATAAGAAAACTGAGACAGCGATATATTAAGTGCCTTGCCCAAGGTCTCATGTCTAGTAAGTGGGACCAGGAGTCCTGCTCCTGCTGATAGAGGAAAGGTGCAGAAGTTTCCTCCTGACTTGTTGCCCAGAATGGCTGAGCACTGACATACAAGGGCCCGAAGCTTCCAAAACTCCTGAAAAAGTAGTGAAACCTTCTACTGACCCATTTATCGGACCCATTTCTCCTGCTGCTCCCTCTAAGTGTTAATATTTTACCAGTTTGGGGTTATTGCATCCATCTTAGGCTTCAATACATTTTATTCTTCCTATCTCCCTTGTCTTCTGCCTTCTTTTGAGCCTTTAATTTTGCTACTGTCTTTATAATCTTCCATCTGTTTTCTACCCATGTCTCTGCCTCCTTCTTCCCCTCCATTTCTGTCTCGAGATCAGGTGGGGAACAAGAATATACATGAAGAGAAAGGAAGAAGCTGGATGCAAGGGAGAGACATTATTTAAAATCTTAAGTTTCTGAGGTTACAATTAATTCAGTGTTTCATTCCTCCTTAGTCCTTGCCTTTTCTAATCCCATAGAGGTCCTGTAGCCCAAAGAAACCAAACTGCTCAAATTCCAAACACTCAGAGTCCATGGGGAACCTCCTCCACTGCCACCTACAGATATCTTCTGTACCCATCGTTTCTTGATTCCCACCTCTCCCAGTGGAAAGTTTCCTTCCTCCTGTTGAAAAAAGATCCCTGCAGCCTCCACCTGTGCCCCAAATCTTATTTTCCCACTTTGAGCTGCACATCCCCTCCTTTCTGCACCTTCAGACTCTCCCATGCAGTGATAAACATGCTCAGTTCTTCTACCTTAAATCATACAAATGCTCTTGGCAGATTATTCGTTGGCTAAATCAACACCTTTCTCAATCCCCCCTTTTCCTTGCCTACCTCCTCTATAGAGGCTGGAAGAGCTAAGTACTTATTTTTTTCAGCCTCCTTTGCTCCTAGCCTCCATGCAACACAGCTGTGGTCAGTGAGGTTTAGGCAGAAGTCTGCTGAGGGGCTTCTGGGAAAACCTTTTCTGATAAAAGGCACAGATGTTGCTGGTGCTACACACCCCCTTTCTTCCTGCTCTGAATGCAGATATTTTACCTGAAGCTATAGGAGCCATCATGTGACATGATGAAAAAGTCATGAAACTCAAGGCATTGAATTATTTTGTCTGAACCAATGCCAACCACCTCCAGATTTGTTATGGGAGAAAAACAAATCCCTATTTGCTTGTAAGCCATTGTTATCTGGGCTTTCTATTATTTGTAGCCAAAAGCTCTTCTGATATATACACTCTCTCTCAACCACAATCTCTCTCTAGTTATCTTCCTAAATCTCTCCTTTCTCAAACTACTAAGTCCTTTCAACCTTTAAGTCACTCTTCAACCCACTAAAATTTACAGAGGTTATCAATAACCAAAACCAAAGGCCATTTTCTATTTTTATCTTACTTTAATCCTCTATGGCATTTGAAAATATGAAATATTCCTATCCCTATGCTAAAATTCTTTTTTCTATGCCACCATCTTCTCCTGATTTTTTTCATTTTTCTTTTGCCTGTTGTTTCCCCTCAGCTTCTACTGATGACGCCTTCCACTTACTGCATTCAAAGACAGTACTCCCAGAAAACCCTTTATCACTGCCCCTTCTACTTATTCTACTGCCTATCAGGAATCTTCACTTGGATACCCACAGACTCATAAAATACCCCCAGACCAAACTCATCATTGCCCCACAAAGTCAGTCAACGTTTTGTGTTAATTATGGCACCCATCCACCCAAATAAATTCAAGTGCTCACATTTAACTGATTACATTACCTAGATTCTACCTTATTATTGCTTGAATTCTTCCCTTCCTCTCCCATCCCACTGCCAGTTTCTCGGTTCAGCCCTTGGAAAACAAAACAATCTTATGCAGTTTGATTTCCTAATCATATTTATCACCTATTTAGCACTTAATAAATGTGTATAAAATAAATTGCCTTAACTATTCTCATAACTATAGATCTATAAAATCTTTCTCTATGATTGTTTTGAATATGTTGTGAGTAGCAAAGATTTTGTTAATATGTCAAATTTTCATGTCTGTTAGTGTTCAGCCTCTTCTGCTTTCCACTTTGATAGTTAGAGTACAACACAAAGATGTATTTGAATCCTGTGTACTCAAAGACTATATTTGTTATATTGTTTTCTAAGTAATTAGCTTATTTAACAATAGTTTAATGACTGTTAATTGAGAACTTAAAACAGCATGCTATTGCATTAAGATTTGCACAATTATTCTACCATCTGGTAGCAAGCAGCCAATATTTCAGAGGAGAAAATAACAGGGAGAGGGGGAAGGACATGGAGGGATAATAGAAGTTGGTAGAGGTAGAGAATTTTGACTCAAAACATTCAGGAAAACCAGATTATGGAATAGGAGCATCTAGATAACATATATAACATGGTGAAAAATCAAGCATATTTATGTTTGTAGCATTTTAGATCTTATAGGGACCTTGGAGCCTTCTAAATCTAAAATCCCTCATTTACCAAATAAGGACACTGGGACCTGGTGAAAGTAGGTGACTTGTCCAAGTTAGTGGCAGATCAGGACTACATACCAGGTCTTTGGGCTATCCAGTTAAGCACTCTCACATTTCCTCTCCAGTGTGAAGTCTCTGATGTCCAAAGGAGAATCTGCAGTATAATACAATAGAACTTATCTTCAGCATGAATCCTCATTGCTTAGAACATTAGCTACTTAAACCTTCTGGTATAAAGTTTTACTTTCTGAATCAAGATTTCTCCACTTCTATATGGTTTCTCTGCAGTGCTATGTATTTTCTGATATGGTATATTATACTTCAACTAAAAGATTACTACAATCGTTACATTTATTAGGTTTCTACATCACATGACTGATCTGATTATCACTGAAGAGTTCATCACGGTGAAGGATCCCATGGAAGCTTCCCTCACGTATGAGTTCTCTGATGCCGTGTAAGATTTGTACTCCGACTGAAGGCTTTTCCACATTCATTACACTGATAGGGTTTCTCTCCTGTATGAGTTCTCTGATGCACTATAAGGGATGAATTCTTAATGAAGGCTTTTCCACACTGATTGCATTCATAGGGCTTCTCACCAGTATGAATTCTTTGATGCTCAATAAGGTATGCGCTCTGGCTGAAGGCCTTTCCACATTCACTGCATTCATAAGGCTTCTCTCCAGTATGAGTAACCTGATGTACAGTAAGGGATGATCGCCCAGTGAAATGTTTCCCACATATCATACACTCATAAGGTTTCTCTCCAGTATGAATTCTCCGATGCTGAGTAAGAGATGAATTTTTACTGAAAGCTTTCCCACACTGATTACATTCAAAAGGTTTTACTCCAGAATGAAGTCTCTGATGCTCTATAAGGTATGTACTTTGGCTAAAGGATTTCCCACACTTGTTACATTTGTAGGGTTTTTCTCCAGTATGATTTCGCTGATGCAGGGTAAGAGCTGAGCTCTTACTAAAGGCTTTTCCACATTCACTACACTCATAGGGTTTTTCTCCAGTATGGCTTCTCTGATGTACAGTAAGATGCATACTTTGACTGAAGGCTTTTCCACATTCATTACATTCATAGGGTTTTTCTCCTGTATGAGTTCTTTGATGCACTGTGAGATTCATACTTTGGGTAAAAGCTTTACCACATTCATTACATTTGTACGGTTTCTCTCCAGTATGAATCCTTTCATGCTGAATAAGGGATGAATTCTTGCGGAAAGCTTTTCCACACTCTTTACATTGATATGGTTTCTCTCCAGTATGAGTTCTTTGATGAACAGTAAGATTCATGCTCTGACTGAAGGTTTTCCCACATTCGTTACATTTGTAAGGTTTCTCTCCAGTATGAATTCTTTGATGTACGGTAAGCGAGGAGCGTTCAATGAAGTGCTTCCCACATACATTACAGTTATAGGGTTTCTCCCCTGTATGAGTCCTCTGGTGCTTAAGGAGGGATGAACTCTGGCTGAAGGTTTTCCCACACTCATTACATCCATAGATTTTCTTTCCTGCAAACATTCTTTGAGTTTTAATTAATTCAGCATTTTGTTTAGTGTCTTTTCCATGTGAATTCCAACTGTGAGGACTTTTCCCCACAGGAATAGTTTGTTGTGTATCAATGATTGAACCCTGACTGAAACATCTTTCAAATTCATTACCTCCACATGTCCTTCTCACAGTGAGGGTTTCCTTATGGGTAATGTGCACTTGGCCCAGATGTCTATCCTGGTTTTTCTGTTGCCCCTCTAACCAATTATCAGGTTCCCAGGTTTCCCCTAAAGAAGAATGCCAGAGACCTTCTCTTTCCATTATTACCCCATAAGATAAATCTTCAGTAATTAGGGCTTTGTAGTTGACTCTTTGGTTTCAAGTCTTATCTCCCAGTCTGAAAAAAATAAAAATTCAAATATACATTGGTTTCTGTGCTGAAAACTGTATAAGGCAGGAAGAAGAGAATGAAACTGAGAATAACTATAGGGCACATCTGAGAGCTTTCAAAGATGTCCCTATAATTAGGAAGAGAATTGGAAGGGAGGGAAAAACAGTGAGCCGTCCATAAATAACAGGGAAACTAGAAGCAGGGTAAGCAGAGGAAAGAGTGAGCCTATGCAGGAGGGATAGATACTGAAATCACTGACCACTGGACAAGACTAAATAATGAAGATCGAACTAAGGGAAGATATACAGATGAGCTGGGATTGGGAGAGGCAGATCACAAAGCCCTGGAACATTTATCTGGTACTCCTACCAGCAGTTTCTTCCCTCCCGAAGGCTGCCTATAATTCTGATACTAAATCTTCATAAAATATCACAGTGTGACACAGTGAAAAGATTGTTTACCCTAGAGTCAGACAAACGTGGGTTTAAACACTGGCTGTTAATCACTTATCATCTTAAGTAGTTGTTTCTCTGAGTCTGAGTTTTCAGAGATATAAAATGAGGATAAAATAATCTGATAAGGATTAAGTAAATTAATGTATATAAACTATGCTTAGGGAACATACTTGTCTGGAACACAAAATACCAGAACATACTTGAAACTTAAACTCTCAAGGGAGGATGGCAAAATCTAAAAGCTCCTCTGCTCCACAAGGAGCATGTGATTTTCTCACTCTCTTTAGGTAAGAGAGTCCTAAAGGGCCCTACACTTTCCTAAATATCCATTCCTTACAGATAAGAACTAGTGGCAGAGGCAGGTAGGGGAGAATCTGTTGAACTGCTTGAGATGGGGCTGGAGGAAAGGCCTTGTAGCCACCCAGACTTTATTTTCTCAGATCCCATTTTTTATCCCAGACAAAACATCCTGGAGGCAGAGAGGCAGAGGACAGGGACTACAATCCAAGAATCACCTTGTTGGCTTGATCAAAATTATCAACACTGAACCAACAGACCAAAGGTCTGTGGGCAGGAGGTTTACTATGAAGCAAAAGGTACACATGAACTGGACTTCCTCCTTCCAATCTGACCTGGTTACATAAAACAGAAAAAGTGGAAAGCCAAGCAGGCTCCACCTGTAAAACACACACACCACCAAGTAACCTCAGAGAGGACCTATCCAGTCAAGCATGAAATACCAACAGGCAACACATGAACTGGAGGCTGCCTCCTGCCCCACTTCACTCTATCATATCCAGCTATCCAACTGAAGTTCTTTGAGATCATTCCAAGTGCTACCCAGTAAACAACATAAAGGACATGGGACATCTATTCACATTGTTAGACAAATACAGTGTCCAGACAGACAAAACTATTCAAAGATGAATGACACACAGAAAATATCAAATTTGGAAACTAGGTAGAGGTTCAAGAAAATTTTAAAATAATAAAAGCAGGAGAACAAGGGGTTGGGGGAAAGCATTAAAACCAAATGGGAGAATAAACATTGGAAGAATAAATGCTTCCAGTCATCAAAAGATGTGAAAAAAAAAAAGATGTAAAAAAAAAAAAAGTTACATACTGGGAGAAGGGATTTGCGACACATGACCCAAAAAGAGCTCTAGAACTTAGACTTGGAAAACAATATCTGTTTAACACTAAGCCCACTAGAAAAATGGACAGAAGACTTGAATAGACACTTTAGAAAAGGAAACCTGGGGACTTCCCTGGTGGCACAGTGGTTAAGAATCCGCCTGCCAACACAGGGCACATGGGTTTGAGCCCTGGTCTGGGAAGATCCCACATGCTGTGGAGCAACTAAGCCCGTGCACCACAACTACTGAGCCTGCACTCTAGAGCCTGTGAGCCACAACTACTGAGCCCACATGCCACAACTATTGAAGCCTGTGTGCCTAGAGCCCGTGCTCTGAAACGAGAACCACAATGAGAAGCCCACGCACCACAACAAAGAGGAGCCCCTGCTCGCCGCAACTCGAGAAAGCCCATGCACAGCAACGAAGACCTAATGCAGCCAAAAATAAAAATAAATAAATAAATTTATTTTAAAAAAAGAAAAAGAAAAGGAAACCTGAATAGTGAGTAAACATAAGCAAAGATGCCAATCCAACAGTAACCAGGAGAAGGGTGAGTAAAGCCTCAGTGAGATACTATTACCACATCCATCTGAGAAACAAAATTCAAAAATTCAAACAGCCTCAGAATTTAGAAAGATGTGCAGTATAGGGAACTTCACATACTGCTGGTAGGAGTGTAATTTTGTTCAAGTATTTGAAAAACAGTTTAGCACTACCTAGAATGCAGAACAGGCACACAGACTATAAGATTTAGCAAATCCACTAGTAGGTACATACACTTAGGTAAATCTATATTGTAAAGGTTCACCATGATTCATAATTTTTAAAGTAGCATTGTGTACAATAGCAAAAAACTGGAAACAACCCAAATGTCTACCAACAAGAGAAAGGATAACTAAATTGTCAAATACTTATACAAGAGAAATGAAAACAGTGAATGTTACGGATTTCATGTCTGCTTCTCCCCAAAATTCATATGTTGAAGCCTAATCCCCAGTGAGACAATATTAAGAAGTGGGAGTCTTTGGGTCATGAGGGTAAAGCCCTGATAAGATTAGTGCCCTGATAAGAAGTGGCACACATGAGGGAACTTGCTCTATCCTGTGAACCAGGAGGAGGGCCCTCACCAAAAACCCATCCATGCTAGCACCCTGATCTCAGACTTCCAGCGTCTGGAACTATGAGAAATAAATGTCTGATAAATTCAGTCACCTGGTCTATGGTATTATGTTATAGCAGCCTGAACTGCTTAAGACAGTAAACATTAATAAACTAAAGCCACACATATCAATATAAATGAATAATTTAAGCAAAGTCACAGAAAAATAAATACAGTAAGAGTCCATTTAGATAAAGTTTAAAAACAGACTATAACTAAATATATTGTTCATCTGTGGATAGCAATACTATAAAGAAAAGCAAGGGAAGGGAGTTATCACAGAAGTGAGAACAGTGGTTATGTCTTGGGTAGAGGAAGAGGATGGGAATGAGGAGGTGCATATAAAGCTACTAGGGTACTAGCAGTGTTCCGTTTCTGAATCTGAATCTGGGTTCTGGTGCCTGGGTGTTTTCTTTTGTTATTATTCATTCATTTTTATCATCATGAACTATAAAAAAAGCAGTACAATTAAGACAACTTTGGAGCCGGACCACCTGGCTCCATCACTGTTAGCTGTGCGACCTTGGGCAGATTACTTAACCTGTCCTGTGCTCCAGTTTCCTCATCTGTTAAATGGTACCTATCTAGTGTTGATATGTGAACAATAATTAGTTGATATTTATAAAGGGCTTAGAAGACTAGTCAGGTTTTTGCTAAGTAGTACCCATATTTTACACATTCTTCTGTATATATGACATTTCAAAAAACAAATGAGAAGAACAACAAAATATTTTCTATTTTGGAAAATACTGATCATTTTAAGTTGAAACATATACTGCAGAAAACTTAATAGTAAGGGTTCAGTATATCTTCATGGAATTTAGAGACCTAACTTAAAAAATTACCTCTGAAGATTTGTTGCTTAAGAAAAAGAAAAAAAATAGACTGCCCTACAAATTTTTTTAAAACTGGCCTAAGTGATCTCTCCAAGAACATGGGATCGCGAAGGACAGTGGAGTCATGTCTACAAACGATTGAGGAAAAACTGATGTGACTCAAGAATTCCACATAGCCAGTACTCTACACGTGCATAGGAAAAAAACAATACATGTTCTTAAATATGAAAGATTCAGAAATTGCAATACTCCTAAAGCATTCCTGAAATGTTACTTAAATGTTTAAATGTTTGAACAAAGGATTTATCCAGGAATTCCAGAATGCTCACTATTAGGAATCTAGTAATATATTAGTAGGTCATGGGAAAAAGGGCATATGATCAACCTGATGGATGCTTCAAAGTATTTGATAATATCCAACATCCAATCCTGATTCAAAAACAAAAATATTAGCATTGTACCAAGCATAAAAAGAAAACACTAGAAGAATTCACACTAAAAAACAGAATCAAGGGCTTCCCTGGTGGCGCAGTGGGTGAGAGTCCACCTGCCGATGCAGGGGACGCGGGTTCATGCCCCGGTCCGGGAAGATCCCACATGCCGCGGAGCGGCTGGGCCCGTGAGCCATGGCCACTGAGCCTGCGCGTCCGGAGCCTGTGCTCTGCAACGGGAGAGGCCACAACAGTGAGAGGCCCGCGTACTGCAAAAAAATAAAAATAAAAAATTTTTAAAAATTAAAAAAAATAAAAAACAAAATCAAGGAAAGGATGCTTACTATTACTGCAACTATTTAATATTGTTCCAAAAGTGTGACCACTCGTAGACAAATGAGAGGGGAGGAAATTTCATTTTTCCCAGATTACATAACTGTCTCTGTGGAAAACATAGAATTGTTAAGGTGGCTTTACTCATATTAGTGAAGTATTGAAGCCTGGATCTGAGCACTAAATATCAAAACCATAGCTCTTTCAGGATTGGACGACATTTCCAATCCTTACCATTTTGCTCTCATTAAATAAGGACCTGTAACATGCACAGCCTTATGCTTGGCCACAATAAGAGGTCAATGATTGTTAGAGGTTATCATTATTATTTTATGTCAAACAATACACAGCTCTCTCTTCTGTTCCTTTATTCATAAGCAGTTCTTTCAAGTGATGGCCCATACTGCCTTCTAGTCTTAGAATGCCTAGTTAACTTTAGGATTTATATTAACTTTGGTACTCATCAGGACATAAGAGTCCCCAGGACTAAGGGGTATGGGAAAGCACAGCTCTTTCAGTATTTATGGCTGGGACTGGCCACAGTAGAGGCCAAGAGCCTGCAGAGTATTTGACCAGGGGTCGGGGGCCTGGGTGAGAGACTTGGGCAGCAGGCCCTGCTCTTCCTAGAGCAAGCTGATTTCTTTCTTTTCTCCTTTTATATTTCTTCCAGCCTAACAGTTAAGTTACTCCTTCCATTCAACCAGACTATTTCAGTACTCACCTGACTGGACTTCCTACGTAACACTCTTGCTACCCTACAGTGCATTCTCCACAAAGCAGCCAGATCGATCTTCTGAACATGATAAATCATTCATTCAATAACTATTTATTGAGTGAGGCACTGTTCAAGGTGCTAGGGATACAGCAATGAACAAAAGTGCCCTGGAGGAACTTATATTTTAGTGAGAGGAAGAAGGGTAATCAACATAATAAATAAGTAAAATACTTAGTATTTAAGTGGTATACCTTATGGAAAAAATAAAAGCAATAAAATGGAAATAGGGAATATGATGGGTAAGGGAAAAAGTTTGTAATTTTAGATACAATCTTCAGGAAAGGCCTCACTGACAAGGTGACATTGAAGACAAGACTTTAGGGGCCAAGGAGGGTGTCACAGGACTATCAAAGGGAGAGCATCCCAGGCAGAAGGAACCACCAGTGCTGAGAGCCTGTGCAAGGATGAACAAACTTTTTGGATTCACCTACATTGATTACAGTCTTTTAGATTAGTTTTCCTACTGGAAGCAAAGATATGTGCCTGTACTAACCATTAATGAGGCTCATTATGAAGGTGGCATGAAGGTACATGGGGACTCGGTAAGAGCACATAAATTCTCTCCCTTTGTGTGTGCATGTATACACACATATACATTTACTCACACAGAGAGGTAAATCAGATGATACCTGGGGAAGAGCTGAGCACAGCACTTGGTTGCCACTTTCCCCTCTTGGTTTTGGACAGCATAATGAGACTAACTGGCAGTAACATCAAAGAAAATCTAGAAAGAACAAGATCTGGAATTTGCACATCATCATGTTTTCTGAGCTCCGTTCTCTTCCTCCACTTTTCTGTGTCTTTATTTCCTTCTCTCCAACAGGTACCTCTCTGCTCTTGTAAATACATTCAAGTCTCTATCTCAGTAAAAAACAAATCGGAGGCATTCTACATCTGACTTCTTTCAGGTCCTGCCCTTTCTTCCTTTTAACTTTGTTGAAAGGATAGTCTGTACTTAAAAGTCTCTCCTTTTTTGGGGAGGTGGGGGGCGGGGTGGTGGTGGTGGGACTTGCCATATGGCTTGTGGGATCTTAGTTCCCTGACCAGGGATTGAACCTAGGCCCTTGGCAGTGAGAGTGCAGAGTCCTAACCACTAGACCGCCAGGGAATTCCCCATAAAAGTCCTCGTTTACTTCTTTACTCTTCTCCCCAGGCACATGTCCTGCAGCACCAGAGTGCGCCTCCCTGGGTTACAGGCCACTTCCTCTACACTAAGACCAATAGCGTTTCTCATTTCTTACTTGGCACTGTTGCACTCTTCTCTGTTTTTCTCTCTTCCCTTGGCCCAGCTCTCCATAACTCTCTCCTCTCCCTCTGACCACTTTTTCTGTCACTTTTGCTAGAGCATCTTTGGCCCCCAGTCAAATGTTATTCCTCAAGATTCCATCCTTGCTGCTTTGCCCTTCTTATTCGTTCTTCCTGATAATTAAAATATTCATTGATATGAGTGTAATAAATATAATTTTCAAAGCTATAGTTTTACCTGATTACTAAAAATTCTACTTGATGTCATCTAATATTCACTCAACAAAGATATTAAATACCTACTCTCACAGACAACATGCTAGGCAGGGCATATAAATAAAAGTAAGCTCAATCATGACAATTCAGTGAGCCTACATACTAGTGGCTAGATAGATATTCAAAGAGACAAGAGAAATACAGTGTGAAATGTAATCATATGCAAGTGATAAATCTTTAGGATTCAGCCCAATAGAGAAGTTGGAAGGTGGGTAAAAAACTGGGAGAGGAAAATCCAGTATGAGCAATACCTTTGTTTGCCTTTGATGCTTCTAGAAAACCCACCAACATGACAGTGAAAGAATGAAAAAGTCATAAATAAATGCACTAAAATAATCTAGGGAGCAAAATGCTGCAAAAGAAAACCAAAACCAAAACAAAAAACCCCTACCAAAAATATAATTTATATATCCTCATACAGACAAGAGAATTTAATACATGCATTTTAAAAGATTGCTATTAAAAAAGGAGCACTTAGAGATGAGAAGGCTCATAGAAATAAAAAATATGATAGTAGAAATAAATTTTTTCACAGAAGGACTGAAAGAAAGTTTAAAGAAATCTTCACATCTCACATTTTCCCTTCAAACAATGCCATGCAATTTACCACAAGGTCTTTGCACCTGCTGCTCCTTGTGCCCAGAATCTGCTCCCACATGACCATCACTTTGAGTATCTGTTCAGTAGTCACCTTAAAGAAGAGGCCTTCCCTGATCACCCCTATAAAACAACACTCCTGTTAACTGATTACTTCCCTTATGATGCTTTGTTTTTCTACGCAGCACCTGACTCTATGAATAGTCAGTCCCTCCCTTCTTCCTTCCTTTCTTCTCCCTTCTCCTTCCCTGCCTTCTTTCTTGATTAATTTATTGTTTCCCCGACTAGACTATAAACTCCACGTGGAAACTCTGCCTGTTTGGCTCATTGCTCTACACCCAATGTTAGGAACAGGGCCCAGTGCTCAAAAAACATTTGTTTGTTATTTATGTAAGAATACAAATAGCAATAGTAATTGAATCCACAGAAATCTGTAATAAAGTTAATTAAAGCTACCTTAAGCAAGCATTCTATACCTAAAAATTAGCATGAAAAGCATAAGATAATATCCAAAGTTGTACAATATGTAGCAAGAGCCAGAAAAATGTATATATCCTTTGACACAGTGACTCTTCCAGAATCCTGTTCTTTAGAAAGCTTAATGGAAACAAGCAGCGATGGTCACAAGATGATTTTTTTCCTATCAATGTTTTTTTACTGATTTCTTTTATTGCTCTGTACTTAGATAGCCATACACTATCCAGACATCAAAAAATATCTGCCTAACTCTTTAAACAGTGTATGAAAAGAAGTGATCAACACTTTCACATGAGTAGAAAAGATAAAGGTATAAAATGCATTTTTTCAGAGAAAAGTCATGATAACATCTAATAAAGAAATTTCAGTTGTGAGGGGGATTAGTAGGCAGATAACAAAGATTACGAAGCATTAAATGCTTAGAGGAGAATGGGATTAAATAAGTAGTAGATTCAGATTAAAAATTTAGGAATGAGAAAGGAAATACATAAAATGTAAGGTTACTAGTAAAAAGAACAGGACTAAACTCACTCGTCATTTGTTTTTAAATGAAGACTGTATAAAACACCTATATAATTCACAGGAAGAGAAATATTAGTCTCCTTTTAAAAAGCTGACAAATGTTTAAATGAATAATGGAAAGGAAGCTATGGATATAGGTAATGGCCGAGAAGATTCACGAAAGAAAATAAAGAGAATAAAGTAGAGCAGGATAGAAAGACAGGGATTGAAAGTACAGATGAGGGAAATCCCTGGTGGCCCAGTGGTTAGGACTCCACGCTCTCACCGCCAAGGGCCCGGGTTGGATACCTGGTCAGGAAACAAAAACCCAAAAAGCGGGGAAGCAGGGCAAAAAAAAAAAAAAAGAAAGAAAGAAAAAGAACAGAAAGCACAGATGACAGAAGAGGGAATAATAACTGCTGATATTTACTGAATGTTCAGTATGTTCCAGGCAATTTAAAAGAGTCACAAATGTAGTAACTCATTTAATCCTCATAAGATATTACCTCCCACTGAGGTAAGGACACATGCAAGACCTCAGCAGGATGAGTGACATCGACAATGCAGAGGCATTTGAGAAACACACAGCAAATGGTACAGGTCTCAAGAGACCCAGGGACCTCTGTAGTGGTTTCTCCCCAAGGTGACACTCATGGAACAAGTTCTTGCAGCCAGATCCTTACCTGGGGAAATGCACCCTGGATGTTCTTTTGTCATCAGGCTCAGTTCTCAATCCAGCTGAGATATCACATTTGGTTTGGAAAGCTGATGCCCTGCTCGGGAGGAAAAACACTAAATTTGACTTCTGAACTGAGTATAAAAACCACTCCCAGCATATGTCTTATCCCTTCATCTTCAGGGCTTCTGCAACAAAGGAAGGTGTGGCTTCTGAGATTTCCCAGTTTTCCATTCTCTATAGAGAAGGCCTTTCACCTTGAAAGACAGGACACTAAGGAACTACCCTAAAACAATGTCCTGTAGTATCAGGATTTCAAGTCCAAATTCACAAATTTCAGAGGCTGTACAAGATGTCAATAGTGGGAAAGATGGCAATAGGTAGGTTTTGAGTTACAAGGAGAAGTCCTTACCCAGCGAAACCAGGTTACTGTATCACTTTCCCATACAAGTTCCTCTGAGCAGAATTTAGATTGGACCCACTCCTCCCAGGTAAGATCTACAGACACATTCTTGAATGTCACTGATTCCTGAAACTATAAATTTCTACTGAACAAAGGATTATGCCAATAACACCCTCTATGGAAATTAAAAAACAAAAAACAAAAAAACAAGCAGCATTAGAAGGGACAGAAGAGATCTGTGAGAGAAAAATATTATCCTCCAAAAGAAACTAAACACCTGCAACAAAAACCGACATTATCATGAAATAATCAGAGACAAATATACAAAGTGCTCTGACATTTAAGGACAGGAAGAGGAGGTATAAGGAGTCATAGGGAAGGATAGTGAAGGCTGCTCTAGATTAGCACTGGAGAAGAGTAGGTGGTGTTCTGATTGTATCCTATTCACTCCATTGATGAAGGAGGGATTCCCCACCCTAAATAGCACACGGTGACCGAATATATGACACCCAGCACTGGACAGATGAGCCTGACAGGAGTTCATTAGTCACAAGTTGGCCTCACAACCCCATGCCATGCAAGACCACTCGGGGCCTGTACTCAGGAACAGTGAACCGCAGGGGCTGTGGGAGGCAGACTTGGTACTGACAGGAGGCTGAGGTGACCCTTGGTTCCCACGGGAAGATGTGACTGGCTTGTTTGAACACTTTCGTGGGCTGCTAGGGAGGTGAAAACCATTACGTTGAGGATTAGGAGGGGTGTACCTGGCCAGGCTGACAGGGGAGCTAGTTGGGTGTGGAGCCTTTCCCAGTGGGTGGGGGCCTATCCAGATAGAGCAGGGGAACTCACAACGAGGTCTTTGGAGCTCCCTAAGGCTCAGAGTTGTAGAAGCAGCACATGGAATTTTAGGCTTTACAATCACTGGGTGGGAATTCCAGTTAATGCGGGGAAAGCATGTGCAAACAGGATAAATCTAGACTGTGGTTGGTCTATGAGACAACCAACAAAACACCCAGCTGGACATGAAAATGGCATTTCAAATTTAAAAGCCCATTTGAGCTTTGTTTTCTAGCCCTTAGACTAGGAAATAAAACTCTGTAAGCATTCACTATCTGATGCGTATGATGGTTAATTTCATGTGTCAACTTGACTGGGCTAAGGTATGCCCGGAGAGTTGGTAAAGCATTCTTTCTGGGTATTTCTGTGAGAGTTCTCCCATTTGAATCAGTAGACTGAGCAAAGAGGTGAGAGGGCATCATCCAATCTGCTGAGGGCCCAAATAGAACAAAAAGGCTGAGGAAAGGTGGATTTGCTCTCTCTGCTTGAGGTGAGATAGCCATTTTCTCCTGCCCTTAGACATAAATGCTCCTACCTCTTGAGCCTTCAGACTCAGACCAGGACTTACCACCATTGGTCCCTGGATCTCAGGCCTCCGCGTTTGGAGTGGGATTGCAGCACTGGCTTTCCTGAGCCCTACGAGTGTAGATGGCAGATCATGGGGACTCTTTGTCCTGCATAATTGTGTGAGCCAATTCCTCATAATCTCTTTCTGTATATCTACATATATCCTATTGGTTCTGTTTCTCTGGAGAACCCTAACTAATACAAGGAGGGAACACTAACTGAGTGGCAGTTACCATACATGATAACTCACATTATACTCAGTTCTGTACTAATAGGAGGTTCGTATGCCTCAGCTCATTTAATCCAAAGGACAACCTGCTAAAGTGACAGAATTAAAGTCATCATTTTACAGATGAGGAATCTGACGAACAAAAAGGTTAAATAACCTCTCCAAGATCATAGAGCTTGAACCCAAGGCCATTCAACTCCTCATGTTGTGAGGAGAAGGCCAAGAAAAGACCCTAGCAATCCTCAGCAAGAGGAAGAGCGAGAGAAAGACAGAAAGGGAGATGGAAGGAGACTCAGGATTGAAGCTCAGGAGAAAGAGGGTTTCAAAGAGGAGGGACTAGTCAACACTATCAGAAGCTGGGTGGGTCAAACAGAATGATGATTGAAAAGAATCTGCTGATTCGAAAATTAGCTAATTTCAGAAGAGTCATGAAGGAAGAAGTCAGCTTACAGTGGAGAAGATAAGGAAGATAGGATCAGGAATCAGAAGCAGCCAGATGAAATTACTTCAAACTTTTTGTGAAGATGAGAGATAACACTGTATGAAAAGAAGTAAGGAATAAGTCGTGTAAATAAAGCAATGGAAAAGGTTTTCCTTTAAGGACAGAGAGCACTGTAATATGTGAATAGGCAAAGGGGAGAAAGTTAGTGGAAAGAAAAGGACTGGAGAGACCAGAGATGGAATGAAACCAATTTCCAAGCAAGTTGTGTATTTTACATCCTACTGGCTATGAACTCCAGAAGAAAGTGTCAACCCTGAGGCACAGAATTTATCATATATCTTTCTACCTCATTATTTTCTCCTAATACTTTTAAATCAGTATATCAAAATAACAAAAATATGTTAAAAATCACTGACAAATAGTGTCAAGAAAAGTAAAAGTAGCTACTAGCAGGATATAAATACATGGCAGAATTTTCATTTTATGAAAGGAAGAAAAGGAAACAAGAAAAATCATCAGTTCAAAAATTTAAAGCAAGGAGAAGGAAACAAGAAAGCATAATAAGGACAAATCATTAAATAACCAGAGAAAGACTTGATACATGCATAACAACAAATGTAAATGGGTTGACTTTGTCTATTAATAGACAAAAACTGTAAAATTGGTTTAAAACACAATTATATGGCACATACAAGAGATACACCTAAAACACAAACCAAAAAATTGTTAAAAAGGGGTGGTGATAGAGACGAGATATAGCAGACAAAAGCAAACAAACAAAAAGGCATGGAGGAGACCATATCAATATCAAATAAGGTAGAATATATGTGGAAACAAAACATAAGCCCCTTCTTTCTGAAAAACAACAGAGCAGAAATATGACACTCTTTCCAAAAATTACTCTACTTTCAATAAATTAATTACAAGGCAATCGCCTTTTTAGCTGAACATATTGGGCAAAATTAAAAGCCCAAACTCAGACTCCTATGGGCTATATGCTGGTCTTCCCCACTTCCCTAGATTCTTCTATTCCCTAGATTCCCTTAAGTGCAGAACCTACCCACCCCCAACCTCCAGCCCTCGTGCTGCAGAGCTTGTCCCTACTATGTAACGTACTATGGAGCCCTGGGTAGATTAGTACAGAAAGGCATTTTAAAAGGCTGAAGTGAAACTTAACTGTATCGTTCATAAAATGTATTTGTTGTTAATCCCTTAAAATGTTTTCTGCCTTTCTCCTTTCCACTTATTATGCGTTTTTTCTCCCCAGCACTACATTAAGCATGGGGTAACTCAGGGTGTTTGAAATAAGCAGCTTCATGGGTTTATCTCCTTTATGCAGAGGTTTTCTTAAACCTGAAACACAGGCTTTTTTGATATTGTTATTCTTTAAAAAGATGAATTATCAAATGGAATAAATAGGGATATTTTAATAATGAAAGTATACTTTATAAAGAAGATACAATAGTGATGAAGTTTTAGGCACCACAACAGCAAAGTGTCTTCAAATATAATTCTTAGCAACCCAATTTCTTCTTTTTTTTTTAACAAAGCCACAATCATGGATAAATCCCAATCACAGTGCAACAAAAATGAAACACCTCAGAATATACTTACTAGGAATAAGCAAGAGCCTCATGATCAAAGTTAACAAAATCCATAATGAAAGATCCAAATAAAATGAAGGGTAATTTTTTTACTCAGTAGGAAGAATAAACATTGTAAATATGGTAATCTTCCTCAAACTGATACAGATTTAATGAATCCAAATCCAAATTGCATATTTTTTCTTTTTAACTGTTTCTGTTAGAACTTGATTATAGTTAACAAAATTTGACCCTAAGGATAAATGTATAAGAACAGTACAGTAACCAAAATTTTGAAAAGAAAAACAAGGGGGGGTGGATTTTCTTTATAAAATAACAAAATAAATTCTAAAACAAATAGTGTGTTACTATAGTAGAAATAGAGCAATAGAACAGAATCCAGAAAAATAAACTCATGCATGTATGTATGTGTGTGAATATATTATATGTGCACATCTTATATACATATATAAATTTAGTATATTTTAAAGGTAGCATTTCAAATCAATGGATAATAAGCAGATTATTCAATAGATTATTTCAACAGATTTACAACAGTTTGAATGCCATCTCCTCAAAGGTGCCCCGTCACACTCAGCCAGGCCACCCTGCTGCGTGGCCATCACAGCACGTAACTTCGTCCTCAGCAGTATTTCTTCTTCACTGCTGCCTCCTCTTTCTAGAAGAGAAGATCCAGGAGGAAGGGGTGTTACCTGTTTCATTCACTGCTACCTTCCTAGAACTCAGAACGCTGCTTAGCACATGGTAGGGAGGTGCTAAAAATCTGTTAAATGAAAGGATGGATGATGAAATGCCTCACCACACCATGTTAAATGAAGTTAGAATACAACCTCACATATATAGCTCAAGAATCTAAATTTAAAATGATAAAACTAATAAAAAATGTAGAAAAGTATTTCTATAACCTTAGGGTACAGAAAGCCTTTCACAGCAACGATCCCAAAGCCAAACAAGGGAAAAGGAAAGTTAACTGCATAGGACTTCAAAACTTATTTGTAGAAGATTATAAAAAATTTTAGAAGAAAAATGACAGAGAACAAGAATGACAATTTATGGGAAAGGACTAATATCCACATTATATAAAAGGCTTCTTTTATATATAAACAACTCACTATAAAAAGGGGCAAAGGATATAAAAAGCTATCTTAAAGGCTAGAAGAATGTACATCCATAGTTATTTTTGAGGATTTGAGACCTAGAAATATATCTTATGGCCTTAATTTCTTTTTAGAACTATATGCCTAATATTTATATTCAGAAAAGGAAGATAAAATTTAAAGGCAAACACAAGTCATACTCGGGCAATTCACAGGCACATCACTGGCCAATGTAGGAAAGATGAAAATATTAGTAAAGATGACAAAAGGAATACAGCTCTAATGCTGCACTGATACCTCCTAAATCAATCACTATACTCTTCGAAAGTGTCAAAAGTCAAAGACAAAGACTGAGAACTGTTCCAGGTTAAGAGAGACTAAGGAGACAGGACAGCTAAATGCCAGATGTGATCTGGATTAGTTCCTGGACCAGATAAAGGACATTTGTGGCAAATTAAGAGTAAGGTCTGTAGATTAGTTAACAGTAGTGTATCAGAGTAAGTTTCCTCATTTTGATAATTATATTTTGGCTATGTAAAACAGGGTCCTTTGCTCAGCAAATGCCTTTTGGCTAAACTATTAAATATTTGTCAAGTTAATAATAGCCAATATATTCTCCACTGCATTCCCTGGGTGGGGCTCAGCACAGCCCTTACACTATATATATTTTTACTGCAGGCCTCAATCTATCACCATTCCCACCCTCTGACACTATGACAGCCCTTTTGCTGGTGGGTCATGCCCCTCTCCCAGGAATGACCTTGCTTTGCTTATGCCTGAGTGAAAAATAAACATGTACCTTTTTCTACAAAGAAAAAACCAGGGTCCTTATTTTTAGGAAACACATACTGAAGTATTCAGAAATCAAACCAGTGGTTGCCTGGGATGGGGATCGTGGACAGGAAGGGTATGGATACTTTCTGGGGTGATAAAAATGTTCCATAGCTTGACTGGGGTGGTGATGATGATGGTGCATAAATTTGTCAAAACTCAATGAATTATATGCTTTAAGTGGGTTATTTTATGTAAATTATACCTGAAAAATAAAGCTGATTTAAAAATTTAGTTAGTGCTATTTTAACTAAATAAAATAAAATCAAGGCTATTGACAACCATACCACAACCTACATCAACCAAAATCTTCTGAGTGCTCCCCCCTTAAAGCTTCCCCTCTTCCAGAAACTCCCTCTCTCTGATACCTATTTTTGTGAGTTATGTTGCCTTTTAAAACTAAGCTTGATAACACTGAGAAGAGAAAGTAGTACAAATAGAAATCACAACAGTTGGACTTCCCTGGTGGTACAATGGTTAAGAATCCACCTGCCAATGCAGGCGACACAGGTTCAAGCCCTGGTCTGGGAAGATTCCACATGTCACAGAGCAACTAAGCCCGTGTGCCACAACTACTGAGCCTGTGCGCCTAAAGCCTGTGCTCCTCAACAAGAGAAGCCACTGTAATGAGAAGCCCACACACCACAATGAAGAGTAGCCCCTGCTCACAACTAGAGAAAAGCCCGCGCGCAGCAACGAAGACCCAATGCAGCCAAAAATAAATAAATAAATAAATTTAAAAAAAAATCACAACAGTTAGTGCTTGTCTTCATGAAGCCTTTAAACTGGTTCCTCTTGTAAATAACCAAGTGACATATTTAAGAGAATCCTAACATATGATCTTATGAATAAAGAAAAACCACAAGTCCTTTGGGATGGCAGACAAAGTTAAGTAAACCTAACCCTACAAACAAAAACAAAAACAACCCAAGAACTTGAGGTTTCCTGGGTAAAGTGCCCCGATGTCTTATTTCCTTTTCCAGAGAAGGAACAACTCCAGGTTCTAGCAAAAACTAGCAGGTTCCATTTTCAAGCAATCTCACAGGGCAAAAAAAGCCTAGACTCCTTACTCACTTTTTTTCCTCTATGATTTCCTCTAGCTGACAGACACTGCTTCTTCGTTTTTTTTTTTTTTTTTGGTTATGCGGGGTCTTTGCTGCAGCATGCGGGTTTTCTCTAGTTGCGGTGAGTGGGGTGCGGGTTTCTCATCACAGTGGCTTCTCTTGTTGCGGAGCACGGGCTCTAGGCATGTGGGCTTCAGTAGTTGCAGCAGGCAGGCTCAGAAGTTGTGGTGCTCGGGTTCGGTAGTTGTGGCTCACGGGCTCTAGAAGGTAGGCTCAGTAGTTGTGGTGCACAGGCTTAGTTGCTCCGCAGCATGTGGGATCTTCCTGGACAAGGGATTGAAACCGTGTCCCCCGCATTGGCAGGCAGATTCTCAACCACTGCGCCACCAAGGAGGTCCAACACTTCTTCTTAGAAAAGCTCTTATCATGCCAACTCCCTTATTTAAATTCCTCTGACTCCTCCTCTACTCCCATGCCTACCACCCCACCAAACACACAAACTCCTCCTTCCTGGTACTTGACCCCAAACTGTATCTGATTCCCTCTCCCTTCCAGTCCCTTCTACCTTCGCTCCACCTCTAAAACTTGTCACCTACAAATTGGCACTTGCCATCTACCCCTACAAGGATCAAATTATGAGCCACTACAGCTGCTGACTTTCAACATCCCCTGAAAGGAGTTCAGGGTGGAGATCAGCACTCTGCTCTGGGAAAAACTGTTAGTACAGGTCTTCAGATAGTTAGATATTTTCAAGAGACAATTTTATGAGCCCAATTCTTATATCTCCTCACAGAGGAGATATAAGAAAAGCACTAAAATCCTTCATGGTGACGTCTGCTCCTTGTGACTAGCAGTAACCTTCACGAGACTAGCAGAAACCTTCTACAAAAAAAAAATATGTGCTTGATTGCATGCACCTCCCCCACCTCACCAAAATCACATATATACTGACCTTCCCCCCTGCTTCTTTGGAGCAGTTTCTCAGAGCTATCTGAAATGCTGTCTCCCAGGCTATAGTCCTCAATTTGCCCCAAATAAAACTTAACTCACAACCCTCATGTTGTGCATTTTTTTTTCAGTCGATAAACTCTAAAACACCAAGTTAGTGGCTGGAATAATGCTAAGAATGCCTACCGCTGAGCTAGTACCTTCAACATTTCAGGAACCAAAGCTGGGCTCTTTTTACTTACATTACTTATTTCATTTAATAATACCTACTTCATAAGTTTGTTGAAAGTTCAAATGAAATAAGTCCGGTGAAATTCTTATCAATGTCAAGTATGTGGCAAACACTCAGTTAATGCTGTTATTTCTATCATCACATGAGGAACAGATGCTTCAAGGGAAGTCAAGTCACTCGCCCAAGACACTGCAGCTATTAAATGGTAGTCGGAATTTAAACTTGGGACACTCTGACTCCATTACAGCAAATCCTCTCCAGGTATCCCTACCCAACCCTACTTCTGGTCACCACACTGATCTTCTCTCTTTCCAGGTCTTGGAACACTGACAATGTGGGTACTTAGCCATACTTGTTCTTATTATCATATACATGTACAATCATCATGACTGTTCCTTGTAGAGATGTGACCTCTTTTATGTTCCCTGAAAGTCCATAGCCCTATAAGCACCAGGACCATCTCTCACATGATTTTTGTTCCTTTTCTGACACTTGGACAATACCAACAGCTCAGCAGGCCAAGGCATCCTGCTGAATAAGGAACTGGAAGCTGAGAACCTAGCTGAGGGATGCTGAGGGGGAGTTTTGTGGAAAACATCCAACATTCAGAGATCTCAATGGCCCTGTTTTCTGTGGTGAGGCCCACCTACAGTACAGGAACAAGGAGTAAGGGAGAAGTTTAAGAGAGAAAAATGAGCTCACCTGAACTCCCAATAGTAGAGGCCCAGCAGCCATTGCCTTCTCCTTCCTTCCTGTGGTGTCCTTCCCAGGGGGTGGGCAGGATCAGAGGAGGCAGAGCTGAGGGAAGGAAAAGATGTGAGAAACAAGACTCCGTCAACAACAAAAAATATTGAGAAATGGAATACTGCTTGCCATATCAGTAAACAAAGGATGTCACAGTCATCAGCGATTGCAGCCACCACCAGTGAGCTGGTGAGCCCTGAGGGAACTTAGAAAGGAAAGAGAATACCTGTCGTCTAGCAGCCATCAGACTGCAGCCACTCCCCACAGTAAGCCCTGAGGAAACTCAGGATGTGAAAACACAGGATACTGGCCCCAGATAGCTGAGGTACGTATCAAAGGAATGATTTCAGTGAACCCAGACTCTTACATCTTACCATACATAGAAAAGTGCTAAATTCCTCAACTTGAGGTATCTGGTTTTCTTTAATTAACCATAATCTTCTGACATTCAGACTACCTGCCCTTTGTTGCAAAACTCCTATATATCCTGCCCCCCCAGCCCCCACCCACCCCTTGCCTCCTTGGGGCAGTTCTCTCAGGGTTACTTGAGATGCTGCCTCCTGGGCTTGAAGTCCTAAAAATTCCTGCCGAATATAACATAACTCTCAACTTTTAGGTTGTGAATATCTTTTCTCATCGACAATATAATACCTACAGATAAGCCAAATAAGAAGTGTATAGTATTAATGTAGAGAAAACTATACTTTTTATTTATTAAGCTTATTTAGATATATAAAGTAAGCCCAACAGAGAGAGACATACCATACTCCTGGATAGGATGTCACTGTATCCTAAGTTGTCACTTCTTTGAAATTAATTTATAAACTTTAACATATTCCCAACCAAGTTACAGCTAAATAATAATCTTGTAAAGTTAATTATGGAAAAAATGATTTTTTTAAAAAAGTTAATTGTGTTGTATAACAATGGATGTGATAACTTGCCCTCCAGATATTATAAAGCTATGATAATTAGAACATAGTGTTACTGTATAGTGTCACTCATTCACCAGATATCTTATTGACCACCTACTGTGTACCAGGCACCATTCTTAGGGCAAGGGATGAATACAGCTGTAAACAAAATAGATAAACTCTCTACCCTCGCGGATGTTATAGTCTACCAGGGAAAAGGGTGAATAGAACAAATTAAAATCCTACCAACACAATCAGTTCAGAAAAAAAATTTATATATAAGAATTCAGGATATGAAAAAAGTGACATTTCACATCAATGAAGAAAGGATGAATGATTCAGTAACTTGGAACAAGGACTTACCATTTGGAAAAGAATAAAAATTTACGTATAAAGTGAAACTAAAGTACTACAAGAAAATGAAGATGAACATTTTGTGACATGGAATAGAAGACCCTCCAACAATGATGTCAAAGACCCAAACATGAAGGGAAGGTTTGCACATCTGAACACATGAAAATGTAACATTTCTGCATAGAAATTGGAAATATACTTGTGTATCAGACACAATTTAAAAACAATGCAAACTGCATAAAAATATTCACTAGTTTTCAATAAGCAAATCTAAACAACCCTATTGTTTGCACCTCTCAGAAAGTTAGAGAATAGTAACACTCAGACTTGCTGTGGGTCAATCAGGCACCCTTACCTTGCAATGTTTATAAACTACTACTTTTCTAGAGAAAATAGGACAGGAGGTATCAAAAGCCTTACAGTATGATCTAGAAATTTCCCTTGAAGAGATTTATAGAATGAGACAAGAATGCAAAGATATATGTAGCCAGATGGCCTATACTGTTTATAATACTAAACAAACAAAAAACCCCACAACAGCCCTGAGAAAGAAAACAAAGGCCTAAAGAGAGGATTAAATATGGCACAGACATACTTTTCCTCATGTTCATTAACAAGCAGACTTAGCTGTTCTTAAAAATTGGTATAAGTAGATAGTTTCAAAACTTACAAAAGTTTATTCTGCATCTTAAGTGGTACTACACAGATAAAAATATTTATTAAAAAATCACGGAGCTTAAGACTTGTGCACTCATTTTTGAAGTAAATGGAGAAAAGAATACTAATATCCATATATTTGCTTAAAAACAAAGCGTTTCTGTGTTTATATACATGCCGACATGCAGATTCTGACAGTTTTCAAATGATTTTTTCCTTTTTGCTCCTCTGAATCTTCTAGTTGTCCTACAGTGAACTTTTTTTTTTGGTAAGAGAAAAACTGTTTTAAATAAATAAATAAAGGAAGAAAAGAAAGAAAAGGATTCCCTGAAGCAGAAATCTGCACAGGGTTGGCCTCCCCATTCTTACAGAGAGATGAGTTAAGGGGAGCCCACGCCATCACCCTTAGGAATCGGAAATCACTGAGGGCGGTCCCCGAGATGCGGTTTACACAAAGGGCAGGTGCTGGAGCCCGGAGACCCGCACCCTGGTCCAGCATCCCCCGAGACTTTCGAGGTTGGTCCAGGGGACAGCCCGCGACGGGGAGGAACCCAGGGTCCGAGAGACTTCCAGAGCCTTCGGTCCCTCACTTGCCCCTGGGACCCGGGGCCGCCGCGTCGGGTCCCCTGCCCTCGCCACTCGGGGGACAGGTGGTGGAAGGACCGCGTCCGGCGCCTCAGCTCTCGGTGTTCCCAACCCGGCTGGGCCCCCGGGGCGAGAGGAGGAACATCTGGAACTAGAAGCCCGGCGCTCCGCAGGGTCCGAGAGGTCGCGGCCCATCTGCAGCCCGCCCCGCCCCGCCCCTAAGGGGCCTGCCCGGCTGTACTGGACTCCTCCCGCCAGGCCCTCCGGCGCCCTCCAGACCCGGTGCCTCCCGCCGTGGCCCCGCACTCACCCTCTCCCAGCAGGAGCCAGAGCAACCAGCGGACCAATGCCGCCCCTCCCAGCATCTCCACCCCGGGGAGCCGGACTACATTTCCCACAAAGCTGCGGGGGCGCGGCGCGGGCGTCAGGAGTGCGCAGGCGCGGGCCTCGGATGGTGGGGGGAGGGGCGGTTCCAGCGGGACGGAAGATGGTGGCTTCCCGAATGGCTACCTCATTTTGGTGGGGTTGTGGCTTGCCAAGCCAGGAGTTGACTGCGCGGTAACCTTACCCCGGCAACCCTAAAGAAGCCTCTCATTAGAACCTGTGGGTTCCTAACCCATGGGTAGGGAAGAAGGGGCAGACAGCCTTGGCTAAGCCTCACTTTCCTCCTCTGAAATAAAGGGAGCCTAGAGGAGTCCCTTGCAAAGTTGTCAGAAGACTGAGTAGATGTGGTAGTTAACATACCAGATGCAGAGTGAGCACTCCATGAATGGTGGCTACTGTACCTCCTTTCCTAGCTCAGTGTCAGGTGCTGCCGTATTTGCTTCAGAATTATCACTGTATAGAATGCAGACAAGGGCTTCGCTGGTGGAGCAGTGGTTAAGAATCCACCTGCCAATGCAGGGCACACAGGTTCGAGCCCTGGTCCGGGAAGATCCCACATGCGGCAGAGCAACTAAGCCCGTGTGCCATAACTACTGACCCTGCGTGCTGCAACTACTGAAGCCCATGCGTCTAGAGCCTGTGCTCTGCAGCAAGAGAAGCCACTGCAATGAGAAGCCTGAGCACCACAACAAAGAGTAGCCGCCTGATCACCGCAAACTAGAGAAAGCCTGTGCGCAGCAAAGAAGGCCCAATGAAGCCAAAAATAAATTAATTTTTTTAAAAAAAGGAATGCAGACAAAATCTCTAATTAAATGTGTGGCCAGAGCTGTCAGTTACAGCTGGGTCTGCCGCTGGAATTTGGAGAAGTACATGACATTTGGGGCAGATCTATGTGGTAGCTTAGATTGTAATATTTGTTTTTCTAAAAATAACCGGTAGCTTCATCTGCCTCTTTCTATTGATGTGACAAAGACTCCACCTTTGACTAAACTTTAGGAAGGTTCCTATGAGACTTCTTTTCTACTAGGTCTCCTCCTTGAGCCCTGTCCTTGGCTTGTGGAGCCCAGTTTTAGCAAGAATACTGCTAAGTCAGTTTAGGTAGAATCCCGCATTATTAATATCTGATCAAATTCCTCATCCCCTACTCTTGATGTCTAAGTCCTTGGCCAGCCTTTGGCAAGGATCCCCCCAAATTTGCTGTTTCCTTTTTAGTAATTTTCCATCCACTGACCCCCTTTACCCTGCTTGTTGGAGCTGTAAATCCCCAGCTGTCTTTGCTCTACTGGGAGTTGAGTTCAGTTTTACTGAAGCCCCTATTGCAATAGTACTGAATAAAATATGTCTTTACTCTGTTAAACTAGTGTCCAACTCTGTTTCTTTTTGAGAGATGTTTGAACTATTTCAAAATATTGAAAAACATGAAAATCTTCACAGTTCATTTAATGAAGTGAAGGTAACCCAGATAGCAACAAACAAACAAAGTAAAAATCTACCACTGTATTTTTCGATTCAAATACCTTGAATCAGACAGTTGTTCCAGGACTACAAGGTCATTCGTACATCAGAAACTGCATGAACATATTCATCATGGTTTGGTGGAGAAATGGCCCTTGATAAAATTCACAACATAAGAGTGTGCAATTTCCCAACAAGTAGGCAGAGAATGTAGAATAGGGAGAGGGAGAAGCACCAAAAGAAACCAACACCCCCCCACAACGCAACAACCCACAAACATAAAAACTCAGGTAAATAAAAAATATGCAAGAAGATGATAGCAATGATGCCAAGTCTATTAGTAATCACTACACATGCACATGAACCGAACTTTCCAATTGAAAGAAAAATACTGGCAGACTACATTTTTATAAATCTAAGCTATATGCTAAAACATAAGGATACACAAACCTTGAAAGTGGAAAACTGGCAAAAGATATACCTGGCAAATATTAACCCCAGAAAGTTAATGTAGCTACTAACACACACACACACACACACACACACACACACACACACATTAAAGCAAAAAATATTGCTAGAGGTGGAAAAGGTAATTACATAACAATAAAAGTTAATTCACCAAGAAAAGAAAATATTCATAAACTTTTATGTATTTAATAATGGAGTTTCAAAATATATAAAGCAAAAATTGACAGAACTGAC